CCTGGAACGAAATGATGATTGAGTGGGTGGATGGGATGTGGGATGTTAGATGTGGGTGATGATAGGACGAGGGTCGCCTGAGGTTTGGGGCTTGGGGGGGGGGGGGGGGGGGGGGGGGGGGGGGGGGGGGGGGGGGGGGGGGGGGGGGGGGAAGTAGTGGAGGTATAGAGTGTGTTGTTGCGGCAGTTCAAGGATCAAGGAGGGTCAAGGAGGGCGGTGAGGGCGTCTTTGATAACGACCTAGATTCTGGCCCGATGGATGCAGTGGTGGAAGTGGAAGTAGCGATGGATCTTTGAAGAGGGAAGGGGTGGTCGCGGAGTGTGTGTTCTGTACACTTGCAAACCAAGGTAGGAGAGTGGGAGAGTGGGGGGATGGAGGGGACGGAGTCAAGGGGTAGACGGAGGACGAGGCGTGGAGCTTAGGCGCGACTGCTAGCTGCTGGATGGAGTGCAAGAGGGCCGAGGTGGAGAAATCGGGAGAGATGTGATGATGAGAGAGGAGGCGAGTTGCTGTAAACGAGGAGGAGGATGGGAGACGAGAATAGAAGTGAATGGATGTTGTGTTGAGGATTGAGGATTGGAGGAATAGGAGGAATAGGAATAGGATGAGAGAGACGTCGAGGATAACGACTAGGCGAGGATGGGCGGCTTGGGCGGTATGGGCGGGGTCGGGCCGTTGGCCGTTGGCCGTTGGGCGATGGGCGACTGCCCGCTGCCTGCTGCCTGCTGCCTGCTGCCTGTTGCCAGCTGCTAGGCCTGTCATCAACTGGCTGGCATGGCTGGTTCATTCACGGTTCGGTGAGCAGCTGGGCAGGGACCAAGGGATCACAAGCCAGGGGCAGCAGAGACACTGAGCCATGAGCCAGCCAGACCAGACGGGGTGATCACTTGGTCTGAATTCTGATTGGTCTTTGCAAACGGCGGCACCCCGTACCCCGACCCGTTATCGCCCTCGGCTTGCAACGCCGACAATTACCTCTCTGACCGCTCCACAATCTCCACCACTCACTCATCGCTTCTATTCATCCTCTCCGTCGTTCTACTCAATTACTCAACATTCTGCATTCACCTCGCAATCATCCCCTAACGTTCATCACCCTTCCTCCTAGCTAACGGCTTTGTCAACTTTGATGGCACGTCAGCGGATTCTGTCGCCAGTTCGCCAGCCGCCAGTCGTCAGTCGAATTGCTCGCTCCTCTAGCTCCACTAGCGTGTGTCCATCTGTTACATCCGGGCTCACGGAGCTAAGGATGGATCGGATGGACGATTGGAACATGAATCTGTGTGCCAAGATGTAAAGCATTCGCCGGCAGTGTCTCATGTGTCAGACAAGTCGGTGACTGCCGCCGGACTACCACCTCATACGAGTGCAGAGACTCGCCGAATCGCTGGATGAATCGCTGGATGATCGGATGACTGACTGTTGGGCGTGCTGGGTGAGACAGTGGCTTCCTCCGCCGGCGCCGGCGCCGGCGCCAGCGCGGCGTCAGCGATCTACGCAATGTGATGTTTAGCAGTCATGCCCGATTAGAACATCCGAAGGAGCAGGCCGAGCAGCTGATAGCAAATGCCAATCCAACTTGCGATCATGCGACTTGAGAAGCACTGTGCCTCGGCGCAGGGGAGGAGGACGCGCTTAATCGAGTGGTTCCTAGGCTTGGCCGCGGGGGGACAGGTCGCCATGACGAGGGGAATCTCAGGGTTCATGACCCTTAATTGGGCAGGTGCCCTGGGCGATTGACACACCTGCTGGGATTGGGCCATGGTCTCATGGCGAACGGAGTGCCTGCTGCCCTTCTGGCACCAGTGACAATGCCGTTCTGCAGTGACAAGCGCGACGGGGAATCGCGGGGGAGCGGACATGAGCCCGCCCTTGTCACACGCGCGTCGTTCGTTGAAGCGCTGGAGCATGCTTAACCCGGTCGGATTCTAGCCCGGCCGCGATGATCCCGGCGATCCGGAGATCGCTCGATATGCGCAAGAGTCCAGACTCACGGCGCCGGTACGCCGATTCTTGTCCTTGACCTACTCTTGCCAAAGCCACGGTGATCCCCAAGCTAGCCAAGCTCATGAGATCATGAGGGCATGTGACAGCACGATCATGTGCATCACGTTAATACGTTGCAACTGAGAATCGCTCAGGTGCAGGTGTGGACTCAGATCGCAGAGCCAAGAACAAAAGCATGAGAGATCGAGAGAAGCCTGCTCCCACTCAACTCTCAAGCCATGCGTCATGCGTCATTTGAAACGCAGACCCGTTGCTCGGTGGCGTACCGGCGGTAACCGAGCATGCACAACAACGGCGAACATGAGAGGTGTATTAGGTGCATGAGGTGCAAGAGTAATTAACACGTCCCGATACGCTAAGCTCTGCAGCGTAATCGTGTCGGCGACTTACATACCAAAATGGGCATGGTTTCCGTTGTCGCGCGGTTGTCATGTAGGAGTGGCATGCAGTGCCTCGTGCTCCACTAACACGGAGCTATGGAGGTGACTCCCATGACTCCACGGCACGGGATGGGAGCCCTCGAATCGAGCGTGGTGACCACCAAGCCAGGAATGTGACATGCGACTCGGCCGGCGGAGACTTGTTAGTCGTTTACGGATTTACGGAGCGGCCCATGCAGCTGATCAGTGGATCGACGGCGACACCGTAAAGAACCTTCCCCATTAATGTCGTGTGATCGCATGAAACCGCGCCAGGTCGACTGCGCGCGGCCCGCGAGCGCGCGCGACCACAACAATGGACCAATTGACCAAAAGTGAATATCAAGGGTTCATCTATCTAGGCGCGAGGCGTGACGGATCCAGTTTGTTTGGCGATTGGCGACTATCAAGGATCGGCAAGAGCGCGGAACGAGGCGCGTCGAGATTGGCAGATGAGACGGATGAGCGTGTTCGCAATGGCGACACCCACCTTTCCCTCCGGCCCCCCGCCCCCCCGGCCTCCGGCCTCCCGCTCTCACAGTAGTCGGCCTTCTCCTCGTGTGCGTGCAGCTGCTGCTCACCACTTCTGGGTGATCAGCGACGATCAGGCCGCGCCCCGACCCCGCGTCCCGCATGTCACCATGCGGCCATGCGGAGGTCAGAGCGCTCGGTTGGGGAATTGGGAAGCAGCCGAGCGCTGTCTTCTCCCTGCTCCGGCTCCGGCTACGTCCGCTGCCAATCAGATAGAATCGCGCAGCGATACTGCCTGTTCCGATGTCGGAGGCCGTCGGACTGGTGAGTTGTAAGCCCTGGGCGACATGGCATGGACCATCTCATTTCATGCCCTCGACAACACATCCTGAGATTGTGCTTCCCTCGCCGCACTGACCGTATAGTGGCAGGTGATCAGGTGAGCACATCAGGTGAGCAGGCATGAGCAGGGATTTTTGGCGTGTTTGGAGCGTTGGAGCGTCACTTCTTCTGTGTCAGGTAGGGGGAGTGAAGTAAAGTACATGGTGGAGAACACATGGGCGCCAGGCCATGGAGTTACGAAAGCTGCTCGTCCTCAGACCCCCGTTCATTTAAGCAATGGGTTTGGAGGCTGGCGTACGCACATCAATTACGACGCAGTGCGCAACTGACATCAAATGAGAAGAGAACAGAAGGAGATGTTTGGTTGCGCATGAAGCGCTGGCGGAGAGCGCCGAACTAATGGTGGGGGGACCAAACAGAGGGCGGTGGAGGGTGCTCAGTTTGGTTCCGCTAGAAGTCAACAAGGCGGGAGGGAAGGTTCCTGGAACGCGACTGACAAGTCATCAACAAGAGACATTCCATCATCCAACTCATCTCATTGCTCAGCATCTCACACCCTGCACCCGCTCAAATCTCTTGTTGTTCACAATTGCGTTCTCTTACAACCCATATCCGACCTGCGCTCCCCTAACACTTCATAATGCCGCCTGCAGAGGCGGCGGGTCTCAAGATCCCAGTACGTGGCACGTCTCACGCGTGACAATGACGACGCCACTGACCCCAGTGCTCAAATCCACAGATTCTGCAGGCAGAGCTCGATGCGCTCTCAGCCGTCCTTGACCATCCCGAACGCGAGGATACATGGGAGAAGATGGAGAAGGCCATCATACGCTTTGCGGGCGTCACTCGCGGAGGCGGGTACAAACATCTCGACCTCTACGTGCGCGGCGTTGGTAACAAAGGCATCGGCTTGCGCATTGTCGACTGCGTATGTTGTGAAATTGATCTGGCTGACCGCAGATGATGTCGGACCGCGGACGTTTGTCCGGCGTATCGACCGACCTGCTGCAAACAATGGCACCTCGTCTCGCATCACACTTCCTCCCCCTCGTCCATTTATACCTTCCTCCACTTGTGCGCCTTCTCGCTCGGCCTAACAAGGTGTTCTTTAAGCGTGCGGAGAAGGTTCTCGCCACCATTATCCAGCACTGTCCTCTCCCCAGCATCCTGATACACCTCAGCAACGGTCTGGACGATCGCTCTGACCAGTGCAAGCGCGCAGCGGGCATGGGCATCGAGTCCGCGATGGGGCAATGGGACTCACACCGCTGGTCGGCGAAGGACCTCGACCTCCTGGAGTTGTGCGTACGCAAGATGGCGACTGACCGCGACGCAGAGGTTCGCAAGACGGCGCGGCGTGTGTGGGCTTTGTTTTCAGAGTTGTGGCCCGAGCGTGTCGAGGAGTGAGTAACCGACGGAAGATGGTGGCTGACATACGCAGCTTCACAAATCCACTCACGCCCACTATTCGCCGCTACCTCGATATCCCTGCGGATGGTGGCCCCTCCAAGCCGAAGCCGCGTCCAGGGCTGCGACCACGGTTGCAGGCCGCTCATGCCGAGGCCGAGTCATCTCGCCACCATCCGTCGGCTACACTGACACAGCCTGTAGGCGTGTCTCGCACCCGGTCAGCCTCTCGACCTCTGCCATCTGAAGAGCGCACCCGCGTCGTCTCCGGCACGGGTGCAGAGGGAAGCCACTCAGGTCTTACACGTTCAGCCTCTCACAAGGTCCTGAGCCACACGTCCTCATCTTCAAGCTTGGGGAAGTCTGAGTCGTCGCGGCACCCAGTGCTATCGAAGCCGAGCCGACCTGGGCAATACTCCAAAACCGAAGAGCTGTCGAACTCCACCAGAAGAATGCCACCTCCATCACGGACTGCTTCCACAAGCTGTGACCGACCGCAGGATGAGCCTCGACAGACGCGGTCCACCTCTGTCTCACGACCAGCCATGCGTCCGCTTAGACAAGCAGTCTCGGCGGAGAGCATGACGTACGCGTCCGCATCGGCGGCCGTGCCCATATCAGAGTCATCGTCTCAACCCCTCTCCACTTTCAAGGCAAGTGTCAAAGAACGTGTGAGCGAGTTGGAAAAGAAGGCCGAAGCCGGCGGAACGCCCTCAGCCTATCGACTGTCTCCCAGCAAGCAGGACTTGGCACGTGCGGCCGCTGTTCCACTCCCAGAGGACTCACCAGTCGTGCCGAAACCCTCACTGCCTCTACGAGCGCAGCTCCCCGACTCGCCGTCCTTCGCGATGCCTCTCAACCGTCACCCAGGCTGGAACGATACTTTGGAGATGCCGACATTGCTGGAGCTGTCCTTGGCCGATATGACGATATGTCCGTCCGCCGAAACGCCCGGTCACGCCCCAAGGCGGCAACATTCGCAGCCCTTGAAAGAGGCCACTCCCCCGCCGGGCAGCGTCGCACAGCTCATAGGCCGCTTCTCGTCGCCCTCGGAAACACCTAGCAAGACACCGCGCTCCTCAACCTCTCCCTCGTCAGGCGAGTCACGTCCACAGAAGACCAGCCCGCTCTCCGCGGAAGTAACTGGCTCATCGTCCTCGACACCGGCCGCTCAACGGCGCATCTCGCCCCTCCCCCGCAGGGTTAGCACCGTTATGCCCGCTACATATGACAGCCCGAGCCTTTCCCTCAAGCGTAAAGGAAGCGACATCGAGCTCTCATTTGCTCAGAGCACGCCTATCCCAAGATCAAAGGCCGCACCACGCTTTTCCCAGCCTCTCATTGCGTTTGGCGACATGTCGCAGAACATATCGCCCTTCGTCTTTGGCAATGGTGCCGGCGTCTTCGACGATCTTATGGCCATCCAAACTGGCGTGGGTGAGGAGGATGAGATCGTGCACGAGGGATTTACGCAGCTGCTTGAAGGTCTCGTCGTAAAGGATGCCGCAGGCTTCCAGGGCGATCTCCTTGGCTCGCCGGCGCCGGCTGCTCTTCCTCCGGCGCTGAAGCCTGAAATCACGGGCGGGTCGGATCTGCTCGACTTTGGGGATGATGAGGTCGAGCACGCCGCGATCAAGAGTGCTGCCCACGGCGTCAAGGCTAATGCTGATGAGTCGGAGAATGACGAGACCGTGATGGAAATGCGCCCGGAAATGGTGGTGGACGTGGCTCCAATCGTCACGGTCAACGAGGAACCAAAGACATCAGAGGCCGAGGGGGAGGACGCCGATGAGACAGTTCACGCGATCACTATTGCGTCGGCAGAGGCGCCAACTCCACGGACGCCCCAGCCTGTTCACGCGTCACCCGCGTCTCAGCCGTCCAAGCAACCTTCGACCTCGAAACTCAGGAGCGAGCCGCCCTTGGACATCTGCGCCTTAGCAAGCTCGATGACAGCAGCTACCCTCCAGTCGCCCGCGCACAGCGCCCACGTCGCACAATCGTTCACGCCCAATCAGACTCCGCCGGCCACGTCAGCACCAGAGCCAATGTCGGTAGCTCCTTCTACCCTTCCATCGTCCTCGCCCAAAATCACTCCGGTCAATGTCAATCTCAAGGAGGTCATACCAGTCGCGCCTTCTGTACTTAACGAAGAGCGGTCTGAGGCCGAAGATTCGCTCGAAAAGAAGAAGCTCCTGACGGAGCTCGAGGAGCAACCCTTGCAGCAGGCCACGGAGGAAGCGCCTATTGCCCCACTGGGTGCTACCACCTCAGCGACAGACACTACTTCCGGTGTTGCCGAGTCCATCCCCTCAGACCCAAAGGTTGGCGCAGAGACCTCTGTTCCAGCTCCAGTTGCCTCCGCCCAGCCCGTGCAGCCGCCCGTTATGGCGCCGACTCGCTCTCGTGGCCACGTGCGCAGCACGACCGCTCCTGTCAAGTCGACACATACCTCGGGTCGTCTCGGTCCACCTTCGAGGGCTGCGCGAGGCCATGGAGATAAAAAGCCCTTTAAGCCTGTCTCCAGGCTCGGCACGGCCGAAGGCAAGGCTGCGCCTGCGCCTGCCCGCCTGGCGATGGCCACCAAGGCGTCGCAGGCCAAGCCTGCTGCGACCGCAGCACCGGCACACACTACGTCGGCGACAGCCCCGAAGGCCCCCTCTGCGCCTAGCTCCAAGCCCCATTCTCGCGGGCCGTCGAGGCCGGCCTCGAGAGCGGTCTCAAGAACTGTCAGCCCCCCACCTGAGCCGCAGCCAAAGCTGTCGCAGTCCAGCACGTCCACGGCAACGGCCGCGGGTACGCAACCCAAGCCCGCCAACAAGGCTACCTCGAATCTGCTCAAGCCGACTGCCGCTGCTTCCGCTCGCGCGGCGGCGACTGTTGCAGCGAAGGAGAAGGAGGTGAAGGAACCACCAAAACCATTCCGTGCGCCCTCAGCTTTGGCCTCTCGTGCCCCAACGCGCACTGCGTCCTCTTCTCGACCAGCGCACAGTTTATTTGCGCCAACTGCAGCTTCGCGTGCCCGTGCAGAGCCTGCTTTGCCACCTTCCAAAAGGCAGCGTGTTAAGCTAAAGGCGCCGATGGAGAGCTTCAAGCCCGGCCGCCGGCCCAACGCCAAGGCCGCCGTGCTGGGTGAGACCGCGCCGCGTCTGCGTCAGGTGCGGAGGAAGGAGAAGGTGGAAGAGGTCAAGACGTTTCCACTGCCTGGGCCGCAGCTGGCTTCGTCGACCTTCAAAGCGCCTGTCAAGGAGTTGGCTGCGGATCAAACTGCAACGGAGGGCTCCCCTTCCCTCAACGCCCTCAACATTCCTGGATCCCGTGACGAGACTGAAAGCATGGCGCGTTCGCCTACGTCGCTCTCGCCGTTGGCACACTCTGCAGCTCTCTCGCCAGCGTCATCTCGGCACACGGAGCGGTCGTACGACTCGTCAAAGTCGAGCCCGCGCAAGATGCGCCCGTCACCGAGTCGACCCCTCGACCCTATCCTCACGCCGCTGCACCATGCGTTGGCGAAGGAGGCCACGCCGACAAGACCTGGGAGAGACACGCCGGCAACGGCGCACGCTCGACGCATTTCAGGCATCCCAGCGAGTGTACAGCGATCGCTGAGTGCGTCACGGGCTGCTCCCGAGGTGGTGGAAGAGGATGAGGGGCGGGGGGGATTTGACGGGAGGGACCTTTTTGGAGAGGGAGAGAAGGAGGGCGCAACCAGCGTTGTGCGGCACGATGTGAGCACGCCGCAAGGCAAGGCGTCGAGTCTGCTTGCGAAGCTGAGTGCTGAGCGGCGGGCACTGGCGACGAGAGACGGGAACAAGGACTAGAAGTTGTATATAATCGGTATCCCTATGCTACTTGCAATTGTCAAGTCCAGAGTATACTACAGTACAGCACAACCTGCCTACGATTCCTGTCTCGTTACCATTCCTTCTTGGGGCAGCACGTCAGGCTGGTCAACCTCGAGTCTTGCAACTTCCAGGTCCGCAATACCCAAACAAACGCGATCAAAAGAGACCTCCACCGCGCGTCAAACTCTATTTCGTCGGAGACATCCGAGATATCAGCATCAGCAGCATGAGCATTACTGTAGCTGCAGCGAGCATCAGATACAATTCACTACTACTTAATAAGGAGCTAAAAAAGTGAGCTAAAATAATGCTGCGCAATATTCTGAGATGTCGTGTCTGCCTCATGCTCAAGCCAGCCCCCTCCTTTTCTAAGCGCCTCGCTGACCTCGCTGACTTGGCTCGGCATGCTCGGCTGGAGGATATTGTTGACGGACTGAGCTACGCTAGGCTGCGTCTGCGCCTGAACCAGCTTCACAGCTCGAAGTTTGGGCGAATACAATGCACTCAACCGCTGCGCATCCTCTGTTAATCTTATTCGATAGTGCAAGAGGTAGTCACTTCGGCCCCTGCACGAGCCGAGCAAGAATCCGGCGCCCTGAGGCACTCTTAGAATTCTCAACCAGCATAGCTCTATAGAGAGCTAGATAGCTGGAGAACGTTCTCTCATGCACCTGATGCACTGTTTTCTCCGGTGGCCATCCCCCCGTCTCCTCTCCAATTGCTCCAAGCAACCCGCCGCATGTAAGAAGGGCACATGATCGTGTGGGCCGCTGTTTATTCCGGCGTGAGGAGGCTGAGGGACCAGGGGATGACGTGAAACCCACCATTTTGTTTCAGGGGCTGCGCGTGCCGCACCGCCATGGCCCCCTTCTGAGCCACAGCCCGGAGCCTGGCGCTCTGGCAGCCTGGCGGGCGCTCGCAGACGAGTCCGGGGTGGGTGAGAGCATGGGGCTGCGTAGGCTGTTCTGCATCAAGAGTGATCATGGGTAAGGTAAACCACACCCCGGAATACCTGGGGCCTTGAACTGGGGGATCGACATGCGAGTTTGGTGCAGTTGGTGGCCTGGTGGCCTGCTGGCTGATGGCCAAATGCGCGGCCATGCGCGGGACGCTCGACTGTGCGGGTTCCGCCCTTCCCGGCAGCCGGCAGGCCATGTGCAGTCCACCACTCTCACTCATCGCAGCCACCTTGCAACCATTGCATCCTCCATTGCATCCTCATCCTCCTCATCCTCCTCATCATCTTGCTCCGTCCCACTTCCCCTCCAAAACATCTCGATCCACTGATCCACTGGCTGGACATCAAAATCTTGTATCCCATGTGAGTATCTTGGCATTCGCGAAGCCTCTGCCTCTTGCCTAGGTCAATTCAGTCTTCCCGGTCTGGTGGCGTCCCAGTGAGCCCACTGCCGAGCTGCCGGTGCCCGCCGTGCCACCGCCGCCATGCCGTTGGAGGTGGGCGCGCGCGCGCGATGGGCGGACGAGCGTGGCGCACGGCCTTTCGGCTTCTCTCTTGCTTCCTTGGTCCCCCCATCTCCCCCCCATCTCCCCATCGCGCCTATCGACCCATCGTCGCAGACTTGTTTGCCGCAGTTTGTGGATCAGCGCACGCGTCAAGCTTGCACAGAACACAATCTCATACTCCGCCTGCTGCTCCGCCTCGGTCTGCGCCTCGGCCTCCGGCACATCCGCGCCCTCCGCCCTTCTCACCCACCCTCTCCATCACACATGCTCACAAATTAGCCCCCCCTCCACCATCCCCCCACCATCCCCCATCGCTCATCACCCAAGCGCCCCGGTTCCTCCTCACCAGGCACTCTGCACGCGCCCCGCACGCGACTCACGCGACGCCGCCGCCTCCGGTGACCGCCACCCCCGCCTCGCCCCCCGTTAAAGGACACTTGCACTCGCACATTCACGCCTCCGCTTCCGCCAGCACCTGTACATTCCCCTCTCGGCGCACTGCATTTTGTAAGTTTGTTCGGGTGGGCTTTGTGAATTTGTGGGCCTGTGATCCTGTGAGCTGTGGGCCCATGGACGTGACATGTCGAACGGAGGGCGGCGCGCGAGGGGGTCCTGGCCCTGGCCCGTGGCGCGCGCTAGCATGAGAATGTCGCATGTCGCCAATGTCGACGGCGGGAAGGGGAGATGCGACGTGGACAGCGGAAGCCATGATGGCGCCCATCGGTGTACTGTACCAGTTGTACGATCGACAATCCTGATTCTGCTTCATCTTTTCCATTCTTCGTCGTCTCGTTGTTCGCTTTCTCCATTCTCCCTCGCTCTTCTCTCCCCCTCTCATTCTTTCCCTTTCCGATCTTCCAGCGACCGCGGCGGACATCTGCGTGCGCACCGGATTCACCTCCAACGCACCGCCGAGACGGGCTGATCCCCTTGTCCCTCCCTCCGCCGTCCCTTCGGTCATCCCTCCCCACCACCTTGCGGCGCCAGCAGTCTCCGCTGCGCCCACTTCGCCCGTCGTGTCGCTCGTCGCTCTTCACTCCACCCACACCCCCTACGCACAGCTTCATTCCCCGTCCTCACACACAAAGCACTCCACCTCTCTTCACTCCCGCACCGCATCACACTCGTTTTCTTTCAAGCAGCGCGTGTGTCGACGCTACCAAAGACCTCGTTGTCATTGCACAGTCGACGAGGTTGAACCCTTTTCTCTGTTCTTTGTTGTAAGCCCGCGCGCCCTAGAAGATCCCTTCCTTTGAATGTCGACTGGCCTTCCCGCTGATTCACCTCAGAACAAGCATGGCAGCAACGCTCATGCAATCTCCGGTCCACCGTCCCTCCATGGACCACACGTCGTCGTTTGATCACGCGCGATCATCGCCCTCTGCACCCTTCGCCACCTCGAGCTTTGAGCGTGCCCCCTCGCCCAGCACCAGTAGTAGCATTCAGGCGCCCCGCTCGCGCACAGGCTCGTCCAACTTGACTTCCCCTAGCCCTTCTTCCTCCGCAGCAGCTCCACCATCCGCACCAGCACCATCATCCCCCTCCGTTCCCCCAGGCGCCGCCTACCCCCAACACTATCCCAATTTCCCCTCTCCTCACCATCACAACCTCCCACAACACTGGCCTCCAGGTCTCGCCCATCCCGGAGCTGGCTTTTACGCTCCGCCTTTCGCCGCCTTCCCCGGCGCAACGGGGTATCAACAGCAGCAAACCCCCGACTTTGCTTCTTGGGCTCACGTGTACCAGCAAATGGTCGCAGGCGGTCACATGGCAGGTCCCGGAGTCATGCCCACCCATCACAACCAGGACGTCGACGACAATGGACCACCAATGGCTGACCCTCCACGTCGCCGCACCGCGTCCGGCCCCAACACCCCAGCGAACGCGACCGTCATTCCTGGTAAGGGCGCCGTCCCGCAGCCTCAGCCTTTCCATCCCTACAAACGCGGCCCCGCCAACAACCGAGGGCACCGCAGTGACAGCACCGGCGCTAGCATCAGCAGCAATGCTGGTGCCGGCATGAGGTCAACGTCGAACCCAGTCCCTGGTGTGCAAGTGCGAGGCACGCCATCTCCGTCGGACGAGCACCGCCGCAACCTGAGTGCGGACAGTGCACAGTTGCGCGCTGGAGGCCCCTCTGCTACTGAAGGACCCGAGGACGACTTTGCGCCGCCGAGGCGCCGCATTAACGAGCGAAGAGACTCTGCCAGCTCCCAAGGAAGTGCACGCTCTGGATCGGCGTCTCCCACCGCCCATCAGCAGCAGCAGCAGCAGCAGCAGCAGCAGAATCCATCTCGCACCGCCTCGCCTCCGACAACGCACGCGCGCTCGCGCTCGACCTCTGGTTCCTCCAGCCCTCTTACAACCGGTACCATTGCGACCAACGCCACCAACGCTGCGCGCCCATCACCCTTGTCCCGGACGGCGCAGCCTCCAGCGGCTGCTGCGCCCGTCGAGCCAAAGAAGAGTTCGGGTGGCATGGGTATCAAGGGTCGTTTTAAGCCTTCCCTGGCGGACCCGGCCAAGGACAAGCCCGCGCCTCCATCTCAGACCCAGTCCGCCCCGTCACGAGCTGAGCAGTCGAGCACCTCTCGTCTCCCCAGAGCCAACGGCAGTGTGCCGCTGGCGCCCCCTTCAGCTCCGTTCGCCAACACGCAGGCCATGAGCTCTGATGTCAGTCTCGCCGAGACGCAGCGCACAACGCAGACAAACGCCTCGATCGCCACGGGCGCGACCGGTGCCACGGGCAAGTCGCGTCGCGGCCTGTTCCGCATGCGCAACAAGTCGTCGGATAACATCTCGCTCTCGTCAACCGTGTCTTCGGCATCGATGATGATCCGCAAAATGGGCAGCCTCGGGAAGCTTGCGCGCCGCAACTCTCTCATGGGCATCTCAAAGATCTTTAAGGACAAGCCGAAGGATGAGGACGCCGCGCTCCCCGAGAAGCAAGGTATTCTCAGCTTCAAGAAGAAGGGAGGCAAGAAGTCCGAGGCGTCGCCCGCCGCCGTGTCGCATGCCTATGCTGAGCTCGACCGCGACCTGAACAGGCTCTCTGAAGAAGACGACCGCATACTTTCTGGTCTGTCGCCAGCTGCCGCTCTCGCTCGTCAGCACACGGTCAGGTCGCGCGCCGAGCAAGCGAAGAGGGATGCGGAGAGGAAGGCTGAGCTTGAGCGCGAGGCTGCCCGTCAAAAGCAGCTCGAGGCCAATGAGATGGGCGGGCACACTGGTGTATCGACATGGGATTCGAGCACAACAACCAGAACTACCCATTCCTCATATGCTGCCGCAGCCGCAGCTGCGGACGCTGCATCCGGCCCCAAGGGCCCCACCAACGTGGTCAAGGTGACGCCCCGCTCCCCGAGCGTCGTCCACCACGCCTTCGCTGTCACTCAGCCTGACTACGACAGCGATGACTCCTCCGAGGGCGACACCGTCGAGAACGTCGCCTCAGATCTTAGACTCACTTCCCTCTCTGACCCCGCGGACCGCGACTTTGAGGCTCTGTGGGGTAAGGCGAACATTGATCCCAACGCGCGGCCCAAGAAGGGCATTCTCAAAAGTGAGTCAACCGCTGTGATGTGAGGCACTTCACGCTAACGTCAAGTCTGCGTGTCGAATGAGGACCTGGAGAAGCTGGCTAGCCAGCAGCAGAGGCAAACGCAGCAGAAGGCGCAGTCTGCTCCTACCACGCCGCCGGAGCAGCCCGTGGCTCATCACGGCGGCCCGCTCGACCTGGCGTCGCCGAACCCGGAGCGCATTGACGGTAACGCCCACGCGCCGCCAGCGGAGGAGCCCAAGTTTGACCTCGACTTCTCGTCATTCGACACTAGCCCGGACCTTGATCTCATGCCTCCTGTCATCTACAAAAATCCCGTCCACAGCGGCTCCGCGCCCGGCATTTCGCGCGGTGAGGGCGTTGAGCCGCAGGCGCGCGCAATGTCTGCCCCCTCCCGCCGTCGCCTTGTGTGGGCGCCCGAGTGCGCCGTCTACAGCACGTACGACGCGCTCACCTACGACCGCCGCTCTGAACCTGCCACCTGCAACCGTGAGCTCCACCTTCCTTTGACGAATTCTGACATTCAGGCCTCACTCCCGAGTTGGCGATGGCAATCAAGCAGGAATTGAACGCGTTCAAACTCGAGATGCCCGTCCACCCCTCGTCAAGGATATACACGCACTACTTTGCATGATCAATTCGCACTGTTTCAAGTACCGTCAAAGCATACGCCATCAGGCTTCTCGAACACTTGGGCTTTCTGCCCTCACATCTATCCCACCCCTCGTTTCTGGCCGATCCTGGTGACCGGCCATTCTCGCATCTCAACCCCATGTGCACTAGGTTTCTGGTTTTCTTTTTCTCGTCTTCTCCTCGAGCGCTCTCCTCTGTCATATGTCGTCGTCTGTCTGCAATCCAAGCAGCAAGCACGCGCCGGGCCGGGCACTATCAATCAATACGCGTCGTACATTATAGGCCTCTGGACGGTGCGAGGCTTGCCTCCCCTTTCCCTCCCACCCTTCTCGTCCCCTCATCTCGCATGTACGTAGACTACCCCGTATATGAGTAGTGCTGTGTGTGTATGGAGAACGGTTGAGAGAATGGCGGGATATTGAGAAGGGATGGAGGGAGACGAGTCGGGGTAAGACCAGTGAAGTTGCGTAGGGCTGGTATCTAAGCGTCTTTTGTCTTTGGGTGCGAGGGGACATATAGGCATGATAGGACGCAGGATAAGAGAGAGAGGGATTGCGATGGGTAGAACTGGTGCGCTTGATCTAATTGCTCTCTTCTCCCTCACCTTTGCTGTGACGCCTCCCGCAATGCCCCGTCAGCCCTGTAGAGTAGTAGTAGAGAACAGTTACGACTCTCTGTTACCCAAAGCTCTGAAGCACGACGCTATTTTAATTAGATGTGCATGTGTCGTCTGGTCTACGTATGCAAGTACGATCTCTGCGATGTCTAGGTATTGTATCTTCAATCGGCACGTTCTTCCTACGCCACCACCAGCCCTCATCTCAATCACCCATACATATACCGTTGCTGTATTTCCAGAAGCACAATGCTCATCAATCATCTGCTGGCCGTGTGCACTCGTGGGAGACTACTGCCTTGCTGCAAACGGTCCAAGCACAAGGGCTCATCGCAGGTGCACCACGCATTACAGGCATACAGGGCCGCACGGGCTCTACATTCCGCCCTCGACCCGAGGCGCTGGACGTCCCTTTGAGCAAATCGAGCAGACATCGCTCGACGCCTCTCTCCGCCGTAGCGCCGAACGCCGCAATAGCCATCGGTCGGTGATTCCCTCGGCCCTCGGCCCTCGGCCCTCACCCCTACGGACGCACCTCGAGCCCCTAATCCGCCACCTGAAAGTTGACCCAAGGATCCGAGGAGGCCCCCATCCCACCGCACACCATCCCCGCCCGTCCCATCCCCGCCACCTCGACAGCCCTCGCTGTTGCTCCCCTCTCCCCCACCTCCACGCGCCACGATAACGACCTCGTGCTAACCACCATCTGAGACTCGCTGAAACTCGCTGAGACTCGCTGAGACTCGCTGAGACCCCGGTGACGCCTTGGTCACGCATCTTTCCCGACACAACGGCCCGCTCCCACTTACCCCGCCCCACACCCCACCCACTCCCTCCCCTTGCGTACTGCCTGTGCGCGTAACAAGGTGGGGTTGCTCGACGACGCGCGACGCGACTGTAGGAGCGTAGTAGTGCGTGCAGAGACCAAATTGTCCAAGCTTTGATCCAAAAGACAAGAGAACTCTTGAGGTCACGCCGTTGGCCTGCACGCCTGCCGCCTACGCCCCGCCCGGCCCAGATTTGTGTCCGCGCGCTCGCGCCTCCACCCTGGCCAGTAGGTTGCACCTGGCTCACCTGGCCACCCACCTGGCTGGCCCTCACCCCTTCCTTCTTGGTTGCGGCACCTCACCCCCTCGTCCTTGGCTCCTCATCCTCCTCACTCATCCTCCTCGTCGTCCTCCTCACTCTCGTCCTCGTCCTCGTCCTCGTTCTCATCCTCAACCTCATCCTCATCCTCATCCCTTCCATTCTCCCCCGCTCCCCTCCTCCTCTTCCATCGTTCATCTGCACGTTCCTCCAACATCGCGAACCCTCTCTAACCCTCCCCTCCCCCCCCCCTCCTCCGCCCACATCCAGCATTCCACTCGTTCCCCTCCTCGTCCTCCCTCCTCACCGTCCTCGTCCCCTCAACCTACACCACTCTCAGTTGTGGGCTCGACCGCACTCATCTCCCGTTGCTTGCTCGATCGCGCCCCTGCTACGAGCTACCATTGCACCTGGCGAAGCCTCACTACCTCCCCCCTTTACCCCTCACCTCTCATCGCTCGCGAGACTTCCGCCGCCTGAATCATCCACATTACCATCACACCAACACACACACACACACGCAACATTGCTCACCACGACACAGGCCCCACCCACATCACCTCCCCATCTCAAAGCGGGCCGGCGCCAGCGCACAGGAGCCTGAGCCGAGTCCTTCCCCCCGCCTGCGCTCCCCTCTCACCCCCCTTCCCATCTACACCCACTCCATGATCATGCCTCCGCCCGACTCACACATCTCGGCGACTTCCATTCTGTCGCCCCCATCCTCGGGCTTCGACGCACTGGGGATCGTCGATCTAACCTCATCAAACCCCGGTGGCGCCAGTGCTAGCGGCGGCGCATCACACCTCACATCGCAAACCTCCTCCTCGGGCTCGGGCTCGACATTCCACGACGACCCCCGCCGCGGTCGCGCCGCCGCGCCATCCTTTCAGTACCGCCAGCCTAACCGAAACACCTACTCCCAGCCCTACCGCGGAGGATACACTTCGACTGCCGATGCCGATCTGTCTGCAGAAGCATTAGGGTTGCCGCCCGACACCGAGATCTCCCGTATCGGCGAGGGGGAGAGTTACCGCGTCCGCGCCGTCTACGACTTTGACGCAGCCGACGAGTCGGCCCTCAGCTTTCGTGCTGGCGACGTGATAGAGGTGCTCACCCTGCTTCCCTCCGGATGGTGGGACGGTATGCTTGGCCAGAGCCGCGGATGGTTTCCAAGTAACTATGTTGAAGATTACGACCAAGACGACGACAGCCAGTATGGCGACTATGTCGAGATGGGCGCCGATGGTAGCCTCCATACTCCCAACGTCGAGAACGTTTCTGACGTCGTGGAAGTTGAGAACAACCCTCCTGGCGCCTTCTTAGGGACCCATTGGTCCATGGATGGGACAACCTCGTTGGACGACTATCTCGATATCGAGATGATGCCCGATGACCGCAACGCACTACTGCACCGACGCCGCCGCACTGATAGTCTCGCGAGCCGTGCAAGCCGGTCCAGTCGTGTGAGCCGATCGTCGCGTGCAAGCTACCAGAGCACGGGGCGCGTTGGACCAGCAGCTGTCACTGCAGGAGCACGTCGCAGCGGAGACGACGATCAAAGTCACGACGACCCAGACGAAACGTTACAGCAGGCATCACATGCACGGGGCCACCGCGACGCCTGGGTGCCGACCCTCACTGCAGATGGACAGGTGAGTCGTCAGAGACCTGGAGGGGAGGGGGGAAAAGAGGAGGCCATTGCGCCAGTGCGAGCTCAGGAACTGACGCCACTCTTGCAGGTCTATTACCATAACACAACCACGGGCGAAGACGCGTGGTACATCCCGGAAGGTGTCGATGAATTGGGCATGTCACGGCCGCCCAGTCAGGCGAGCAGCCAGCCCCGAGACGATCCAGGAAATGGTCGTGTCCACCCACTCAACCACGATTCACGAGACCTTCATCGCCTCTCTTCCTACGACCGCGCCCCGCGTTCGGCGGCTGTTGCTCCGCCCTCGGCTGACGACTTTCGCATTCCCGCAACACGCCAAGCACGCCTCCCATATCCCTGGCTTGCCCGTCTCACCGACGACGGCCGCAGTTGGTTCTACATCAACCAGGTTACGGGCGAGATGAGTCGCGACCCCCCACCTCAAACTCCGACCACTGCGACCACCACTGACAGCGGGCAAGATGGGACAGCCTCGGCACGCCGTCCTAGTGTCAGCACGATTGCTTCGACTACTCTTTCCGTCACACGCCCACCACGCCGCTCGTCGCTGCGTCACTCGCAGGTGGACTGGGAGGACCGGATACGCACCGCGCTTGCCCCGCTCTACCAGGCCCCGCCACAGCCCATGCTCAGCGACTACATCGATAAGCTGCGCAACAATATCAACAATCTCTACGAGGCCGCAATGACGGGCGCCGACGTACAGACGGAGAAGGAGGAGGCTTTGCGGGCGCACGTTGGCATGCAGCAGGCGTTGGCAAAGGACTCTGCGGCATGCGCCTCCCTCAACGAGTGCGAACGCTCGGTCGTGGACGCGACGCGACAACTCTTCCTTGCCCTCGGCTACGTCGGCCCATCAATCCCACCGCCCGGCGGCCACGACTCTGGCTTCTCCGACGACCCGCAGCGCCCGCAGTGGTGCACCGACATGTCACTTGTGGGTGTCCTTGGTCTTATCGCAAGCACAGTGCGCGTTGCCACGGAGGGGAGCCGAGATGGATCCACGACGCGCACTCCTTGGGACAATGTCATGCGCGCCGCCGCCAAGATGCGTGCAACCCTTGAAGCATTTCCGGCTATTGTGAGCATGGACCAGGCCGAGCGTGAGTCGACCGTGGGACGCCAGCTCTTGGCGTGGTTTGGCGCCGAGCATGTCGGGGACTTTATGTCGGGACGATTCGGCTTCGGCACCCAGTTCGACCCCGAACTTCGCCCCCTGGACCAGGTTGTTGTTGTCGAGGTGCAGAAGCTCAAGGCTGAGGTTGACGCTGCGCTTCGTGCGGCAGCCGCACAAGCAGGTGGTGCAGTGTTTGACTTGATCCGCTCCTCATCGGTCTTCCGCGACGCTGTCGCCCGCATCGACGTGGCCATCGTCACCGACCTCGACGGCGACAAGGATAGCGCAGGGGAAGAGGAACACCCCGAGGATGCGCGGCATTATGCCGAGCTCGTAGCGCGCGCGCGCTCGTCTTTGCGTGACCTCGACGATGCGTGCATGTCGCTAGATACCGCCGCGGCCGACATCTTCCTCAACATCGAAGAGCCTGGGTCGCTCCCCACGCGCGAGCTCGTTGGGCAGGCCGTGAGCACCGTCTTCCGTGCGTTGTCCTCGCTCCTCGTTGTGGCGCAGCAGCAGGCGGCGTCGGTGGAGCAGGGCGTCGTGAAGGGCTCAATAGGCGGTCGATCGCCGAGGAAGACGCTTAGCGCTGCACATACCCGCGGGGCGTCCGCGACGTCAATGGAGTCTCCTTCGCACACACGGGTACAGTCTCAGCACACACGGAATGCGTCAGGCGGCTCGACTGAAAGCCGAGCCACGCGCATTACTGGAGGATCGGCAGAACAGGAGTTCCTGGACGGCGATGACCGGCGCTCAGTTACTGACAAGGCCAACAAACGGCTATCGCGGCAGTCGCAGCCCTCGGCTTCGGCATCCCAGACAAGTCTCGTTAAGCCGCAGGGCCCGTCATCGAGCAAGACATCACTCGGCGATCAGCCCGACTCGGAGGCGGGAAGCATGCGCGGCTCAAACCGTTCATCGATCCTCAAGGCAGTACCGTCCTTCCTGCGAACAGGCCGCTCCGACTCTGTCAGCCAAGGAAAGCCGTCCAAGAAGCTTTCGCGCATCAAGGACGACCGCTCGTCTATGATCTTCTCGTCTCCACCGCCCGCGGCGCCGATGGCCGCACCACCAGCCGCTGCCATGCGTGCCGCCCCACCATGGTACCTCTCATCCGACTATCCGCCTGGCGACATTGTGTTCGACGAAGAAAAGGGCACTGTCAAGGCCGGCACGATCCGCGCGCTTATCGAGCGCCTCACGCCCCACACGAGCTCCGACACGGCCTTCTTCCAGGCCTTCCTGCTTACATACCGCTCGTTTGTATCGACGGACGACCTCGTCGAGCTGCTCCTGGAGCGCTATCACGTCGAGGCGCCCGCCGATCTCACCGAGGAGCAGATGAAGGAGTGGAAGCTGCGCAAGCAGACGCCGATAAGGCTTCGGTGAGTCTGACGCCTTGGGCACGGCTAACGACAGTGTCGCTAACACTCTTAAAACGTGGCTCGAGCACCATTACATTGAGGAGCAGGACCGTAACGCACTCGACGTGGTCGAGGACTTTGCGACGACGACACTCATGGCCAACGGGAGCGAGCTTTTGTCAAAACAGCTTCTTCAGCTCGTCGACCGAAGGGTGGGTGATTGGATTAGGGCGCAGCTAACATCAGCGACGTGGTGAGGCCACTGCCAAGAGCCGCATTGTCATGGGCGGGCCGGCCCCGCAGCCACCGATCCAGCCGCGCATTGTGCCGGGCAAGCCGTTGACGCTGCTCGACATCCAGCCGCTCGAGCTGGCGCGGCAGCTGACCATTCTCGAGTCCGGTCAGTTCGTCAAGATTAGACCGCCCGAGTTCCTCAACAAGAAGTGGCAGAGGGAAGACTCTGACGTTGCGGCCCCCAATCTCACCGCCGCGATCACCTCGTCGAACGCGCTCTCGCTTCTTATTCAGAAGATCATCGTTCAGAACAAGGATGTCAAGCAGCGCGCGGCGGTCATCAAGCACCTCGTGCGCACCTGCGTCGAGTGCAAGGACCTGAACAACTTCTCGTCAATGTCGGCTGTTTGTGCCGGTCTTACGGCCAGTTCTGTGCAGCGCCTGCGCAAGTCTTGGGAGCCGCAGAGCGAGAAGACGATGCGGGACTTTGCGATGCTCGAGGCGCTCATGAGCTCGACCCGCAATTTCCAGAAGCACAAGGAGATGCTCAAGACGATCAACCCGCCCTGCGTTCCATTCCTGGGCTTCTACCTCTCCATGCTTGTTTTCATCGAGGACGGCAACCGCGACTACGTCCCAGCACCGCTGCTCGATGCGAACGGGAATGTGGTGCGGACGACCAGTATGGGTCGTACTGCGAGCATGACGAGCGCGATGACACGCGTAGGCTCGACCTCGTCTGGGCTGGACGGCACCATCGGGCGCAACAGCGTTGCGCCGAGCATGACGAGTATTTCGACTGTCAACTCGAACGGCATAGCCCCGAGTACGAGCAGCACGTTGGTCGCGTCAACGAGCAGCAGTAACGGCGGGGACAAGGAACGGCCGATGCTTATCAACTTCTTCAAGCGGGGTCTCACCGCCGAGATCCTTCGCGAAATCCAGCAGTACCAGGCACAGCCGTACAACCTCGCGCTCTGCAAGCCAGTCATGGACTTCCTCGAGGAGCAACTTTCGAGTGTTACCGAGAGCGTCGACGAGCTGTATGAGATCTCGCTCGTCACCGAACCCAAAGAGCGGAGCCAGGTGCTGGCCGACGAGCGCGCAATGGGCGCGATGGCCGCTATTGGTATGGGGAGGACATAGGAACTCGGGGGCCGAGCGGAGCGAGTCGCATCTGATCGAGGCACGCGAGGCCCCCTCATCGTACCCGGCGGCGGCCGAGGGGGCGCTGGCGGGCGTGCTCGCGCCGAGGCCGAGGCTGTTGCGCTCGTGCATTTTGACCCATAGCGGAATACGAGCTGTCATGATTCTTGTCGGGACTGTGGTCTGTTGTAGTGACGCACGATGCATGTGTTCCACTAGGCTGCCACGAGGCGAGGGCGTGCGGGAATGGTCGCGCTTGCACGTTACAGAACAATAGAACTGGCGTGACGTATTCAAGGGCGGCGAGTGGCTGGTGGAGGCTGGATGTGGAGAGTGCGGAACCAAAAAGTGGGAAGTAGTGGTGGGTGGGAGATCCATGCTCTGCAAACAAGCTCGGTCGAGCCGTTCCAGCAGCTCGTCACTCTCAATCTCTTCCAATCTCCCTCGCCCGATCGCCCATGCCACGCCGCGGACATCGATAGCCATGGTTCAGTTCTACCGCAAAACGCATACCTAGTGAGTGGTGTGTCCATCTCCCTCGTCGTCCCCGGTGTCGGCAGGCTCGGAGCCGGACGCCGGCGATGTGGACGATGACTCCGCCTTTGTCGCACACCTTCCCTCGCCGCCCCCGCCCTACTCTCCCACCGCTTCCGTCCGTCTCTTGTTCTCTTTCGCGGCAATGCGCTAACCCCAGCCCCGAGGCACCGCCAACACCCCTCCTCGCCTTCTTCCTGCGCTACCCAAACCCCTTCGCGCGTCACGTTCTCTCCGTCGATGTCCTCGAGCGCACCGTCGATCCCAACACAGGCCGGATCAAGACGGTGCGGCTGATCCTCAAGCGCGGCATCGTGCCGCAATGGGCGTCCAAATTCCTCCCCGTCGCCAAGGCGTCCGGCGGCCGCGGACTCGACGCCTGGGTGCTCGAGGAGAGCGTCGTCGACCCCCCGGGCTGGGGGCTCGACCCCGAGGCCGCCGAGGCCGCCGGCCCACCCACGCAGCCCGTGGGCGCGGACCTGCTGGCGGCGTACAGGAGCCAGCCGCGGCTGCGGGTGTGGCAGGCGAATCTGAGCTTCAAGAAGTTCATGCATGTCATCGAGGGCGGCGAGCTGTGTGCTGGGCCTGGCGGGTGAGTCTTACAGAAGGAAGGTGGAGGATGGAGGGCTCACGCCAGTTCAACGCTCCATCATACTACCGCCGAGGTGAGGTCGCAGTTCGGCGGGACGTGGTCGCAGATCCTGCGGAATAAGATCGAGTCGTACGGCATTGGCAAGTTCGAGGGCAACACGGAACATGTGAGTGCCAAGGCGGAGAGGAGGCCGAGAGCATCGCTAATAGCAGTCGCGCAAAGGCATGTCACTCATCCTCGGCCTCCTGCGGCGGAGGGAGATGACCAACGGCGCGATCGATCCGAGCAAGCTCAAGCCGGAGGACGACTCATGATCTCTCGACTCTGCTACATCACACCCCAACGCATTACGCACAGCACACCCTCTCCAGCTCATTCTCTTCCGCTTGCATTCTCTAGGCAATATAGGATCACCGTTCGTTCGTCTGTATGCATCTATGGCCCCTGTGCTCCATCGGCCGCATCTTGGGGTTGACCGACAGTGAAGCGGGAATCACGTGACACGGCCATTTCGGACATCCCCACACCCGCTGGCACGTCGCGTCACGTTTAACTTTCTCTGGCCCCATCTCCCTCCTCCCCACCCATCATCATGCCGACCGAGTACCACAAATACAGCTTTCTGGGCAACGAGATCAGTACGCAGTCCCATATTCTCATCTAATGGCAGTTCTCGAGGTGCCGCTCTCGACATTCCTCCTCGCTTTCGTCGGTGCGCTCACCCTCATGACCTATGCCAGTTCGCTGGTGCGCTTCCTCTTCGCGATCACGGCTGGCAAGGGTGTGCCGCTGTACCGCTTCAAGGCGAGCAAGGGGACGACGTACGCGATCGTGACTGGCTGCACATCCGGCATCGGGCTCGAGTTCGCGCGCCAGCTCGCGGCCGACGGCTTCGGCCTCATCCTCGTCGGCCGCCGCCAGAGCGCGCTGGACGAGCTCGCGCGCGAGCTCGAGTCGGCGCACAAGATCCGCGCGCTCTCCGTCGTCGCCGACGCCGCCGACCCGAAGGACCTGCACGCGGCTGTGGCGCGCGTCGCTGCCGTCGCGCGCACGGTTGACACCGGCATCCTGATCAACAACGTCGGTGCGAGCCACGAGATGCCCGTCGCCTTCCACGAGACCGACCCCGCCGAGATCGACAACATCGTCCAGACCAACATCAGCTGGACGCTGCAGCTCACACGCGCCATCATGCCCCTCCTCGTCGTGCGCTCTACGCCGGGCTATGCGCCCAAGTCGCTCGTCATGACCATCGGCTCGCTCTCCGGCCGCATCCCCTCCCCCCTCCTCGCAGCCTACAGCTGCACCAAGGGCGGCCTCAAGACGTGGAACCAGGCCCTCGCCGCCGAGGTCCAGAGCAAGGGCGTCGTGTGCACCATGGTGTTCCCCGCGTTTGTGGTGAGTCTCCCGATATGCTGGACGCTGACGCCAGGTCTCGAACATGTCCAAGATCCGCAAGCCGAGCCTCACCGTCCCCACCGCCGAGAAGTTTGTCAAGTCGACCCTCGGCTCGATCGGCGCCGCCCGCGGCGCGCAGGGTCGCCTCTACGAGAGCACCCCGTACCCCGCCCACGCGGTCATGGACTACGCCGTCGGCTTGGCGGGCAACGCGAGCGAAAGCCTCGCCGTCAGCGTCATCCACTCGATGCACAAGGACATCCGCAAGCGCGCCCTCAAGAAGAAGGAGCGCCAGCTCGCCGCCAAGACCGAGTAGGCGGTGCGCGCGGGCTTGCTCTCGGTTGTCGACGCCACATCACCGAACACTCCTTGATAGAAATACATAATCTCACATGCAGTAGTGTACATGGGCGTGAGTGGGTGTGAGCAGGTGAAGGTGTGATGGGCGTGATCTGCCGTCAGCCGGCGATGTTAAGCCCGAGTAGAACTCACCACCGCGTGCTTGCGCCAAACGTCGTCCCACCCGTACCGGGCACACCCTGGTCGTGCAGCTCGTTCTGCCGTCAGCTCGTCGCCAATCAAGCAAACACACATTCCGGTCCGTCGCGCCGGCCACGAACGTGCCCCACAGATCGGCGACGGTCTTGAACTCGCGCCCGACGCCGTACGCCTCCTCGATGTTGCGGTTGTACGCGTTCGTCGTGGAGATCAGGTCCTCCATGCCCTGCGGTCAGCGCTTGATTCGGAGCAGAGGGGGAGGAGGTGAGGGTCTGTGGGCTTTGGGAAGGAGGCGTACCGTCGCGATCTCTTGCAAAAGGCGCGCCTTTTCGCGCTCAAAGTAGGATTCTTCTGCCATTCTGCGCGCAGAGTGTGGATCGTGACGAGGTGATGCAGATGTTCGTCGCGTCCCTTGTTGACATCTCCGTGCGGCTTTATTGGGGTGCTCAAATAGGCGATTAGGACGAGCTTCAGTATCCGGGCCTAATCCCTAATAGCGATGACGCACTGCACGTCACCCTGCTCCGGTGCACCTGCCGATCCTCTCACCATCGAGCTCACATGCAGGTCTCCTCCGTTGTAGCCCTCCAAGGTCACAATGCACACGGCTGCCCTTTTCTCTCGCGCAGAACGAACAACTACATAGCATAACAGTCTAGAAAATAACGTCGTCGTCCTTGTCGGCGTCGAGCATATCGGCGCCCCCAGCCGCACCGCCCCCAATCCCGTCGTCCTTGTGCACCTCCTGGACGTCCGCGTTCTTCAGTGCACGTTCGGCCTCGGCAGTAACTGCGTCGCGCTTCTTCTTGCCCTGCACCTTCTTCAGGCGGAAGAACTCCTCACTGCGGTCAGCTACTGGGCCACTATGCGGCAGTCCCTCCGTCTGCTGCCAGCATCCCCCTGGCAGGCGGGCTTTACTGAGCACTTCACTGCGTCCCTTGATGACGCTGCGCTACACCGACTCACCGGTCCATCTCGTCCAGCTCCGAGTTGATGTACTTGATCGTATTCTCGAGACGAGGAATGACGACGTGCTCAATCGCATTCACGCGACGGTTGGTCGCGCGAATGACCTCGTCCAGAATCGTGAAAGCCGTCTGCAGCGATGCGAGCTCCACCAGCGTACCGACGGCCTTGATGTATGTGTCTCGACTGCGCTGAATCTGCTGGCCACCACGCGACAGACCCGTGAGGTTGAAGTCTGTGGTCAGCGCTGGATAGATGTGCGCTGCATGGCATCGCGGACATTGGCGCTCGCCGGCCCGGCCGAAGCCCAAAGCCGCTCGAGTTCATCGCCGACAGCACCATCACCTGCTCAACTCACCACTGCCCTCCTTGCGGACGCCTTCGAATGCGGGCAGCACAACACCGGACACGTTCTCTTGCTTCGCCTTGACGGTGTACGACGCCTTGCGCACACTCTCCTGCACCTGGTACCCGATGTCACCGGCGGTGTACGTTACCTCAGCGAGAGAAAAGGACGCGAGTTGCAACACGCGGCCCATGGAGCGCTTGGCGTCGTCGACCTTCTTGAGGATCTGACGAAAGCGAGTGGTGAGCGCATCGCGCTTCTTGGCCAGCAGCGAGTGGCCTGTCTGCGCGCCCTTGAGCCGACCCTTGGTGAGGGTCAAGTTCATGCGCGTGGGGAAGATGGCCTCGCGGGGGCCAGTGCCGGACATGGTTGGAGAATGAGAATGAGAGTGAGAGTGAGAGAAAGAGAGGGAGGTGGATGTACTCTGAGGGACGTCGACGTCGTGGGTTGGGTTCGCCGCCGGCGGGAGGGGTGGAGGAAGGTGGAGGAGAGGTATATACATTTGGACCCGCACCATTCCCCACTCATCACAACAAAGATATGCGCAGCGAGGACGAAGAGGACGACCACTTCGGAGATGAAGACGAGGACGAGGATGTACGTGCTTTTATGGCTAGGGGCGCATGCTGACAGCAGGAGGAGATGCGCGACGATGCTGCCAACCAGTAGGTGTGGATGCTGACCGCTGCTGACCCAGATTCGACGAAGACCAGGACATGGAAGAAGACGACGACGATGCCGAAGGTGACGAGGAGGAAGACGGAGAGGCCGATGATGAAGACGACGAAGATGAGGAGGAGGAGGATGACGACGATGATGACGACGACGACGAGGAAGACGATGATGCAGCTGGAGACGAGGAAGATGGGCAGACTCAGCAAACGACAGAAGCTCCTCCAACAGCTGAACGTGGGTTCTTGGTATCGTATGCGCGATCTAACACCAGCATCCGGGCCGCAGTCAAAAGAAGACACGCCGCGCTCACCCACAAAGCAGCCAACGCCGCCACATCAAGCCCGACGCTCCATCTTCGTCCCTCCACCCCCATGGCCGCCATCAAACCTCACTATTGAGACCATCGTCGGAATCCCCCTGCCCACCGCCGTGCACTCGATAGCCTCCTCAGCATGTCTCTCTTACCTCCTAACGGGAGGGCAAGATGGGCATGTGCGCGCATATGACTTCTGGGCGTCGGTCAACGGTGGCCAGGTAATGACCGCGCAGCAGCGAGGTATTGTCGGCCTGGGAGAAGGCGTACACAAGGCCGGCGTGGGTCGAGGATGGTGGTCGTGTGAGGTCGAGGAAGGCACACCGCCAACGAAGCGCACCGAGCCCGTGTACTCACTCGCGTGTGAGGGCGATGCGTTGTGGGCGTTGGCGGGGAGCCAGAGTGGTCCTATAAACCTCTATTCTTTGCGGCATCGGCCAGGGCACCTCATCCACTCGCTCAAGGGCCACACGAACGTCGTGAGCGCGCTTCAACTTCTCCCCGGCGAACGAGGGCTGCTATCAGGCTCCTGGGACGGCGGAGTCAAGGTTAGTTTGGATCCATTGAAGCTGAACTGACATCGAGGAATGGGATTTGAATTCGGGCCAGGTTGTGCGCTCTTACCCTACCCATGGCGCGCAGATCTCCTCACTCTCTCTTCGTCCGATTACCCAGGACACTGATAAGGAGCCCGAGCATAAGGGCGCGAACGGTGATGCGCTCCCGCACGTGAGCGTCAATGTTGGGCCAGATTTCTTCAAGGCGGATCGCGATGCGGATGGGGACGCTGTCATGGCAGAGAAGAAGGTGGAGGACGGCGACGAGGTGAAGGAAACTGAAGCCAAACCGGCTTCGGCTCCTCCTGAGTCGGAGAAAGATGCGGCGGGTGAGGACGACGACGCAGACTCCTTGTTCGACGATGATGCAGATGGTGAAAACGAGAGCAAGCCCGCCACACCAGCACTGCAAGCACTGGGCCTCGCCCTCCCCGGGGCGAAGCCGCCAAGCTCAAGCGTGACGCCCGCTCCACCAACCCCGGCCCCAAGGCCTGCTGTCAAGCCGACACCCAAGATCGTAGCCGGGGCGGCGGCCAGCATCCCCCTCCTCACGCCAACATCATACAAAGCGATGTCGAACGACATTCTCCTTACATCAAGCATGGACGGCCAGGTGACGCTGTTTGATCGACGCGAAGGCGGCGCCGTGGGCCGCCTGATACCTGGCGATCGCGCACCACCATGGTGCATGAGCGTGAGGCAGACTGTGCGTAAAGAGGCTAACAGCAGGCTGTCTGGCTCGGCGATGGTAACCAGGTTTTGGCAGGCCGACGCAATGGCACAATCGACATCTGGGATGTGCGCAAAACATCGTCTACATCCGCGAGCGTCCTCCGCACTCTACGCACCCCTTCTGACTCAGGTCCGGTGTCCTGCATTGTCGCCTTCCCAGACGGCAAGCACGTTGCGACTGCTAGCACCGACAACATCCGTTTGTGGAACACGGTCGAATATTATGAGCCCGAAGAGCCAGCGAAGAAGAAGAGCTCGCGGCCACCATTCCGCATCATTGCCGGTCATCACGGTGGAACTGTTTCTAGCATGAGTAAGTGTCCCGAGGGCGAAAGAGCAGGAACTGACAACAGTCATCGACCCCACGTCACGCTTCCTCATCACGGCGAGTGGCGACCGGGGGTGGCAGGGCGAGAGTACGCGCGTCGTGCTGGTGCACGAGGTGAAGTGGACATAGATTGTAGAAGGCACTGTCTCCTTGATGTCCTGCCATGTACCTTGTCTTCCGTGCCCCGCCAGCCGGGGTCGCTCACTACAGCAGTTTCAACAGCAGGAACGCTACGGGATCATGGGCATGGAAGGACGGAGTTATACATTGTGCCAAATACAAACGGATCGAACGGGCTATTGCTTATGGGCTAACCCCACCATCTACAAGCGGACGGTGAATGACTGGCAGCCTGCAGGAATGGTGAAATGCACTTCGCGATTGGTCCGCTCCACATGGCGGATAGTATCTGTCTGGTCGGGCTGGCTCGCCGAAGTGGTGCTCGTAGATTCATCCTGCGAAGTGGCCATGTCATTGTCGCACGGGGAGTGCTCGCTGGCCAGCGGAATGACGCAGTCCGTGGTCTCTCGGCAGGCCATACATCCAGTGTTGAAGAGACAACGGCTGTTGTCGACGCAAGAGCACGATGGACGTTCCCACTTGCTCCCGTTCCAGAAAACACGCGTGCCAGATCCCACCAAGCTCGACACTGACTTTCCCTCGAGGATGCATGTGACGACGTCCAGCGTCTGATCCATCACAGCGCGGGCATACCTGCCTACGGTGAACGGAGAGCCGATCGCCTCCCTCACCTCCTTGGCCGGAACGGCAGCGGCCATCTTACGCCCGCGGGTGATGGCGCGGTGGACGCGCCACGCCGTCTTCTTGCGATAGCTGTACGGGCCGTCGACGAGTCCCCCGTAGATGAGAGCAAGGATCGCCTCGTAGCGAGCCTGGAAGTGGACGCGCGCGGCGTGGGGCGCCCAGCTGTCCGCAGCTGTCCGGAACTGAACTGCGACGTGGTCGGGCAGGCCAGCAATGGTCTCCTTCAGCGATTCGAGGACCCCGCGGCGCTCAACCGCCACCCGCCGCGTATACTCGAGCATGGCACTGATGTACTGGAGTTCCTCCAGGATGTCCAAGGTCCAAGGCTCCTCAAACGGCGCGGAGGCGACGCGGTGCAGGGCCATATCGGCCCACTTGACCTTTCGGGGCATGGAGCCGCAGGGCGAGGGGCACATGTGCCACCACTCAGCGTTAGGTGTGGATGAGGGTGCGGGTGCTGGAGTAGGGGCGACGAGTCGACGCTGGTAGCATGTAAGCATGTCGAGCTGCACGTCGGCCAGGGTGAGGCGGGAATGGCGGTCGTCGCGCTCGTACCAGAAGGAGTCGGGGGTGCGGGAGTTGTCGCGCACGACGCGCGAGACACGGAGGCGCGACGCAATGTGATGTAGGCGGTACTGGAGGTCGTCCATGATGCTGAGAGGCGAAGACGGGATGAGAGTAATTTTGCGAACAGATGCATCTTATGTAGGCGGGATGGCACTTACATCGGCGGCTGGGAACGGACAGCCAGCGAGGTGGGAAGGGGTGCGAGGACTTGGCAACGCCTGCACACTGGTGAGTCGTGAACATTGAATGAAAGGAGCGAGCCAGAAAATGGGGCCGACACTGAATTGTCTGAACTGTTATGCGGAGTGAATGGTGTGTGTGGCTGGTTGCACGGCCTACGACATGAAATGGTCAACCTCCCGACTCACACAACAAGCTGAAGCGGCGCGGCATCCGCCGCCGCCGCCTGTCCGGCCCGTATCCAATCTCGCATACACTCCCCAGACATCTCGTCCATGCAAGACAGACAAGGGTCATTGTGTGGTTTCAACACGCAGGCGCCTGATTTTCATTGTGGTGGTGGTGGAGGCTAGGCATGGCCTTCATTCATTACAGTTCCAGGCAGGGCGGCCAAAACAGCCTTTTCCGAGTTCTTGTACAATGCACGACTCCCAAGCCTTGCACCATGAGTAAGATTCACAGAGTGCACATCGCCTCCATCATCGCGATCGCCCTGATCGTCCCTCGACTCGATGAAATACATTGATCTACTGCGGAGGAATTCTGTTCCGCCATTTTGTCCCGAAATGGTGGCGTCGAATGGTGGCAAATGTTTCAGCCTGCCAAAGTTTACCAGCAGCTGCTCGCCGCAGCTCCATCCACCCGTCGCGGTTTGTAGAATCTCTTCGTGCCCTATTGCGTTTGCGTATAGTTTGTCAATTCGAAGATGGGCTAGGTGCGGGAGCGCGAGGGCGAACGAGCGAGCGGTTGGCTGGCTGAGAAATGATGCTGAATTTCGCTGAATTGTTAGACTTTCCTGCTGTCGACACATCGACCCCATGGATGTCGGCAACGGGCTGATTCGTTTACCTGCCCCCAGATCAAATCCAGTGGACCACATGTATCTCTCGCTCGCAATGTCGCTCGGTCAGTATAAATGGCTCGGGCTCGAGTATGCCATCAAATCTCTCCACTGCCCAAGATGTCCCCACCCCATCCTTCCACAGAGTTCCCGACTCCCCGCGTCTCGGGGGAGGAGTGCCCTCCCCCTCCCCCGCGCCTATCACGCGCCGAGGACCCCAAAGGCGAGAACCCCGACATCACTCCCGGCTCGCTTCCCATCCCCGCCCCCAATATCCGCCTGCCAGTCGTCCCGCGCAGGTCGTCGTCGCTTCGCCGCCCCGTCCCCAAGCGTACGTCCTCTCTCCCGTCTGCCAGGGATGTCTACCCCGCCCTCGCTTTGCCTTTCTCTGTCGCCCCCGTTTCCGTTGGCCCCGTTTCCGTCGCCCCCGTCCCCGCCTCCGCGGCTCCTGCTACGCCCTTGTGCTCCGCTTCACCCGTGGCCGTCTCCGTACTCGACCTTTCCGTTAGCACCATGTGCCGCGACCTCGACACAATTTCGGAAACACACGTGGACAACACGCTCTCGGTGCCCGACGCGGCCGGCGCATCCGGGGCGTCCATCAAATCCCATGCATCGGTCGACTCCGTCGAGTCGCGCCTCACTGCGCCGTCTGACTCGGACTCTGGCACGAGCGGGAGGTCTACTCCCGTCGAGACGAAGGGTATGCCACGATGTGAGAGGCGCTGATATCAGACGAAGAGCCGTGGGCGCAGCAGTTTTATCCCTCGGTCGCGGCGTACGAGGCTGCACGGGCACGCGGGGCGCGCATGCCCCGGTGTGATGGGTGTGCGTTAACGCGGGGCAGGAGCATTAACGAGGACGGGTCAAATGTCGTCTGTGTCGACACACAATGTCCCAATTTCGCAGGGTTTCACGTGCCCAAACGCCGCATGAGCATCATCACCTTACAGTACGAGGTGTACAAGAAGCTCCCGCGCTACAGCCAGCAATATTCATAGGTACTGTAGCATGCTCTATCCAATGCAACGTCGCATACACTACCTACTCCTCTCTCTTCGGGCGCTTCGGCTCGCTCGCTTCTCCGTCTCCGTCCTCGAGCGCCCGCTTCCTGTCGGCCTCGGCACGCTCAGCGCGCTCTGCCTCGCGCTGCGCCTTCTCGGCTTCAGCCTTGGCCTTGGCCTCCTCGTTCTCCTTCTTCCGCGCGTCGTTCGTCGTGTTCATGAACGCCCGGAAGGCGTCCTGTGACCCGCCAGTCGGGGCGGCTGCGGCCGTAGCCGCCGCCGCTTTGGGTGGGCGGTACGCCTGGCCCATCGCCTTGTGCGCTTTGCGGGGGCGGGGCGCGAAAGAGAGCGAGGACGTCGCAGCCTCAGGCCTCGAGGTGGACGCGGCCATCGCCGCGGCCGGCTTCGGGGGGGCAGCCTTTGATTCCGGGTGATCTTGCACGCGGAGCGTGGCGCCGTTAAACACGATTTCAGAGCGAAGCAGGAGCGCACCCGCGTCCTTGGCGGACTCGAGCTCGACACGCGCCTGTCCTTTATTTGCGAACATTTCGACGCGCCGTACCGGGTAGTGCTTCTCCAGCTCCTGCTGCAGAAGGCCTTCTTGAGACCCTGACGGAATGTCAAATAGGTACACGGTGCGTTCGCGGCGCTCTGCCGCCTGCTGAGTGCTGCTGATCTTCCTGCAAGTCAGCGTTGCTGAGGAGGGAGCACTCACCCTCGACTTTTGTCCGCGTGCTGTGGGTCGCTGATTACCACCTTGAGGTGCTTACCGCGGTGCAAGGCGCCGTTCACCTGAAGAGCCGCCTCGGCCTGCTCCTTGTTCTGCATCTCGACAAAGGCAATCCCCTTCGCCTGATTCTTGGCTTTGTCCCATGGAACCTTGACACTAACGATTGTGCCGTACTTCTCCAGCAGGTGCCTCACCTCGCCCTCTGTCGACTTCGGATGCAGGCCACCGACAAACAAGGTGCAGTCCGAGTAATCGGTGCGCTTCGTGCGCTTGGCTGGGTCGGAGATGAGGACTGACATGGGGAAGCTCTCGCCTGCAGGCTGGAACTTGTGAAGAACGAGAGCTTCCTGGGCAGCTGCCGGCGACTCCATGGTGATGTAGCAGAAGCGGCGAGAGTCAACATACTTGCGGCTCGGCCAGCGGATCGAAAGAATCTTGCCGTACTGCTTATCAGCGATGACTTGCCAAGCTGCTGACCTGTCCAAAGAGCTGCTTGAGGCTGTCGTTGTCGGCTGATCGGGGGAAGTTGGTTACCCATAGGGTGCAGCGCCAGAGCATCGACACACGGATAACGTGGCCATCAAGCTTCTTGCCGTCGCGTGCCAACGCTACCGGCACCGTATCCGCAGACACGAACTCGACCATAGCTGCACCCGCCTCCTCAGTCATGGTGCACTCGCGAACCTCTCCCGACTGCTGTGAGCTGCATTGCAACACGAAAAGGCTCACCTCCTCGAAGAAGGACTGGACACGTGCCACGGCCGTGTCTGGGCCCAGGCCAGTCACAAGTACTGTGCTGTTTTCGCGATCGCTGTGGTGTCAGCTGAAGGGACGTAGATGATAGCGCACCGCTTGATCTGAACCTCGCCGGCCGCCTTGTCGTCTTGTGGAGCAGCAACCTCAGCCACAGGTGCGGTGGCGGCCGCCGGCGCCTCCACCGTCGAAGGCGCGGGGTCAACTACCATCGCCTCGTCGATGGGTTGCGCCGGTGCAGCCACAGGCTCAGAAACAGCCTGAGAAGCAGCAGCCTCAGCCTGCTGCTGCTGCTGCTGTTGTGCATACGCCGCCTGCTGTGCCTGTGCTTCGCGTTCGCGCCGCCTGTTGAGCTTCTTCTGCGCTGTGGCAATATGTTTCCTCGCTGTCTGCAGTGCTTCCAACGTGCCGTGTACGTTCTCGAAAGTTATGAAAGCTTCGTACACGGCTTCTGGCCAGTCGAGGTCGGGCCGCTGGATCGCCTTGTTGTATCGCTCGCGTGCACCGTCAACGTCACCGTAGCGCGCCTGCGTGTCGGCACACAGGATAGTAAACTGGTAGGAAGGATCGCGCGACTTGGCCGGCGTGCTGAGGAGCGCGATAAGGTCCAGGACCAATTCAACCGCCGCAGCCTCGGCCTGATGTCAGATCTGTTGCTTGATATACTCACCCATGAGATCGTGAACTTTTCCAACCTCAATGAGGAGTCGCCGTCAGGATACGCTGAAGTCAGCCAGAGCATGTTGTATGCAGCCTACCCTTCAGTAGCGTGTCCGAGGCGGCCACGAGGTTGAGGAAAACGGGGTGTTCGGCATTGGCCTCGAGTTCCCGGCAGCGCCTATGCAAGATCGCTGCGTGGGTGACGAGGAGCTCCACCAGAGAGCTCACGGGCTGCTTGTTGCCGATGATCAGGCCTTGCGCCCGCTCAACAGCTTTATCGATACCCGCGATATGGTTCGACTCCTCCTGGAGATCAGCTGAAGCACAATCTGTGAGACTCACGAACGCAGTCAGCTGACGGTTCCAGACCTCGCCACTGCCCGGACATGCGCGCACGGCGCGTCCCGCGACATCGGCGGCGGGGCTGTCTTCTTCGCTCGATTTGGAATTCTCAACCTACCGTCAGCTACACAAGGAACGCTCTCACCATCCAGTCATAGTAGCGGCACCAGATAGACGCCTCCGCCGCTTTGTACGCCGCCGCAGTGTCGCGCATCTGCTGCGCCATATCCGGCACGTCCGCCGCAGCGAACACCGCATCCGTCGCTGAGGCGGCGGCGTCTCCGTAGACGGCGAGCAAGCGCTCAAACGCGGCGCGGCACAGCCCGACATCCTGCTGCGGCCCCTTGCCCTTCTTGTTGCGCTTGGCGGCGGGGTCCGTCTCCCAGTCAACGTACGCCAGCAACACCTGTGCCTGCTGCCCGACATCGCCCGTGAAGGCCTGTTGTCAGCGCCATAAGTTCGGCCGGCTCACGAGCTGCTCCTCAAAGTCGGCGCGCGTCCGCCCGTGCCGCTTCTCCCGCTCCAGCTTCCACTTGGCGTCCTGGCTCGCCGCCGTCGCTTGTACCAGCCGATCCTCGTACTCGTCGGGACAGTACTGGCTGCAGAAGGTCGAGTAAGCGCTCGCCGTCTCGCTGCAAGCCGTATGCGGCGTCTTGAGGCGCTCGAGATACACGTCCCCGACATGCCGGATCTGCTCCTTCCTTCCGTCAGCGACCATCTCGGCGACGCTCACTTGTCTGCGCCGGACAGGTGCTCGAGCAGCGACACCTCCCAGTCTATCCACGCTTGCCAAACCCCAGTAGCGTTCAGGACGCCGCTAGACCGCTCCGCAAGGTCGCGGAGCATGCCCCGCAGCGTCTCGGCGTGGAGGTACGCGCGCACCTCCTCGTCGCCCTTCTGCGCGCCTTCAGCGCCTTCGGCGAGGCTGACGAGGAAAGTCGCATGCTGCGTGAGTATAGATGGTGCTGGTATGAGCTACGGTGTGCTTCGGGAGTGTCGGGGCTTACAGAGGTATTCGCCTTCCGCGGTCTGGAAGACGTCGAGGATGTCGACGAGCGCGTCCAATGTCACTGGGCTCACGGAGGTGACCTTGGCGTCGAGGACGCGCCGCCAGAGCGCCTCGCCTAGGAAGGAGAGCTGCGAGGCCGTCTTGGCTGCGTCGACAGCTTCATCGACCATGCCGACTTGCAAGAACAGGTCAATCTGTCGTCGGAGAAGGTCGATGTTGTTGGGCTCGCTCCCCAGTCGCTCGATCACGCTGCCGAGCTCGGCAACGGCCGCATCGGTGTCAGCGTCGGGGGGAGTCGCCTGGTTGCTAGTATCGTCCACGTCCATGGTGCGATGAGATGAGTGAGGCGGGATGGATGGGAAGGCGCTGGATGATCGCAGTCGAGCTTCCAAAGTGAAGTCGCGAGTGGAGGTGGCGGAAGCAGTTTCACGTGGCCGTTGTTTGTGCATGTGAGTGCCACCCCAGATTCCTGCAGCGCACGTCCTCGATGTAATATCACACTCCATGCAATGCGTCGGATACAATGTAGATGCTGGTAAGCCTATAATACTACTAGTCCTCCTCAATGTCCATCACGCTTGACTCGTCGACGACGCTCGCGTGATGGTGGCGGTAGGATGCCTGAGACATGGACATAGACATGGCCGACATATCGGCGCGGCCGGCGGGAACAACGGTGCGCCCGCTCCCGCCCTGCGTAACAGTACGCGAGCTCCCTCCCTGTGCGGAGATGCGGCTGGCGTCGCCGGCCTCCTCGAGCGTGAGCGGGTCCAACTCGATCGGCAGCGGCCCGAACGCTGGGTTGCCTTTCGGCACACTGAAGGGGTCGAGGTTCTTGTCGACGATGGCAGCAGGGAGGCCGGGGAGCGTCGTGGGGTCCAGCGTGCGTACCTGCTCCGTGAGGGCCATTTCGAGGAGGATGGTCGCGACTGGCTCCTGCGGGAGGATGGCCAGGGCCTGGTGGTACAGTTTGATGGCGCCGCGCACGTCGCCGAGGAACTGCGAGATCATGCCCTGGCTCGCGTAGGCCGTCGCGTCGATGGGGTTCAGGCGGATCGCGGACGCGTAGTGCGACCGCGCTTCCTCGTAGCGGCCCAAATTGCGGAGCGCATGGCCCATGTTGCTGTGTGTCGCGGCCCAAGGCTCGGATGAGCCCTGCATCCTTGAGGCGCCTTGCAAGGCGGCTTGGAAGTACTCGATCGCGGAGAGGTAGTCCTCCCGGTTGTACGCGGCCACTCCTAGCTCGTTCAGCAGCAAAGGGTCGGTTGAGTTGTAGCTCGCCGCCGTGGCGAGATACTCCTCAGCGAGCTCCGAGTGCGAGAGCTGGAGGTACGACATGCCGATAAAGAGGTATGGCAAGTGGGATCTGGTTCATCAGCGGGATCACTCGACTTTGCTCACCCAGGGAAATTGCGCGCGGCGGTCGAGTACGCGGTAACAGCCTGGTCATGTTCCCCTTCTTGACGATAAGAATGAGCGAACGTGATCCATGCTGGGCCAAAGCGCTGGTCAATGAGGTTGGCCTTGCTGAAGTAACGGCGAGCATCGGCCCATCGCTGTCCAGAGTAGTACCACATGCCGACAGCCCACCATGTCGTTGCCTCGTGCGGCTCTGTCCTGACCAAGCTGTGGGCGAGCGCGTAGATCGCCGAGTGCAGGCGCGGGATGTGGTGCATGCACGCCAGCTGCAGCGTGAGGGCCTCCGAGTGGCCAGGAACCTTGTTGAGGATCTTGGATGTGACAACGTAACAGTCCTCCCACTTGTAGTTGGCGAACAGCTCTTCCGCAATGCTGACAAGCACGTCGCTGTTCTCACCCAGCCCGTATTTGACGGCAAGTTCGCGTCCTGCAGCCGAGATCTCTTTGACGTGAGACTCCTTGCGCAGCTTGGAGATGTACATGAGACGCACAAACGCCGCCTCCTCGTCGCTGAGCTGCGAGCCGTACGCCAGCGTGCTGATGAACTCCCATTCTGATGTCAGCCCGGGCACAGTCTTTCAACCCACCCTCTCCAGGCCTCATCATCTGGCCGTAGATGAGCTCGCGGAATGCGTCGTAGTTTTTGACGTCGAGCGCGAGGGCCTCCATGAAGGACTCTTTGGCCTCGATAGGTGAGGACAAACGCAAATGCAACAACCCGCGGAGGTAGCACATGCTCGAGAACACCTTGATGCCCTGGTCCGTTGATGGACGGGTTGCTGCGGCGTCCGTCTCGCCAAACGAGCTCTGCACTCCGAGCATCTCGAGGGCGTCCTCGTACTCCTCCTGCTCCATCAAGCACTGGGCGGCAAGAAGACGGCAGGCAAGATGTTCACGAATAGGAGGTTTGCGTTCGTCCTCATCCGCGTGGCCGTCGCGTTCACCGGAAGCCTTATGCTTGCCTTTGTCGAGCAGGGGTGCCCTGGGTGGGGGAAGGGGCTCTGTCAGTAAGCGCTCGGCGCGCACAAAGTGGCGCATATGGTAGTAGGCCTGAGCGAGCCAGAAGGCGTCGTTGGCATCGCCTGTGGTCAGCCCAGCTCAAGCAAAGGGCTCACCTGTCCAATCCAGAATCTTGTTGGCCCAGAACGCGGCCGTCTCGTACAGGTGGTGGGTCATGGCGTCGGAGCGCCAGATGCGCATCGAGTCTAGCATCGTCCACGCGTCGCTGTCGTCCATATCCTCGTCTTGGACCGGCCTGAAGACCTCGCTGAGACGAGAACGCGAGCGTGTGCGCGGCTCGCTGCCGGGTGCAAGTGTTGCGCCGGGCGAGCGGGCGAGGTTTGAGCGCACGCGTGGAGAGAGCTGCCCGTGCATCCCCATGTTTCCCTGTTCTGAGGTTGAGAGGGCCGTCACTCTCCTGCGCGTCGGTGTGCCGATGCTCGTGTCGGAGATGTCGACATCAGCCGGGCCGAGGCTGAAGGACTGGGAGAGGGTCGAGGGGCCTGCACTGCCAGGAGCATGGCGCCGTCGAATTTGGATGTGTGGAGGAGTTACGTGGGTTGCTTGTAATGGTGGGGTGTGGGTGGACATGGTGATGGTGTGAAGAGTGAGGTTGGGTGACGTCGAGCAGAGATTGTTGTTGTGGCAGGATCCCTGGGTGGATCGCGGCTCGTTGCCTCGACTGGGAACGGACGTGATCGTCAACAAAGTGCTCACGTGGGTTGAGTGTGGCTTTACCTAAGACACTCATCGTGGTTTTACCTAAGCTGCCTGCCTCCGTGTCCAGAATGATGTCATTATTGGGTTCATGGGAGCCATGTGTGGCTTCGATCGCGGCGTAAGACCCGAATAACATGTTCTGCACTCGAGCTTTGATTCCTCGATCTGCTGTCACAGAGCTGACCTTCTGAAGAGCTGCATAGTAGCCACTGATATCTACAGATGAACTGACATGAGCGGGCATCGTCGACAGTACTTGAGCAGAAGGATGCGTTGGGGTTTGACTACAGAAGAATTCTGCCTGACGTCTGCAGTGCCTTGATCGCCTGACACGTGCGGAGGCGTTCAGGGATTGGATGCATTCCCATCTTTTGCATCGGAAGCGGGGTACCCCGGAGCGTGTTGCCAAACTTTCTGATTGTTGACACAATTTGATTGGTTCGCGTCATGCATGACTGTGCAGTGAAAACAGCCAGGGCGAGAGCGTCCAAGCTCGTCGAGCAGCGACAGGCTGCAGGCTGGAGAGAAACTAAATTACGGCAGGACGGTTGAAAGCATGAGAGGCTAGGGTCGGGCAGAGTCATGCCGGGGCACGGACCTGGCTTGCCCTGACTCACGAATGGGCGATCTGGGTCCTCTGGTTTGGAGCGTTGAACAGCTGGATGGCATGGATGGGGAGATTGAAGAGCTGGTGAGACAAGATGGGTGGGTTTGCCAAAGTCGTTTGAACAATTGTACTGTAAAATATAGCATACTAGTGCCCCTCGTGATTCGGCATGTCGAACGGTTGGGGGCGCAATCGCAGTTGGATCGTTGGAGGAATTGGAGGGAGGTGGGCGTATACATGGTGGCGCCGGGGGGCGTGGGGTGGTGGGGGCGCAACCAGCAAGGGCAAGGGCAGGCAGAATATTGGAACGGCATCAAGCGTCCAAGCGCCAAGGGCGGAGGGCAAATGGGCGCTAATGGCGCGAGGCAAGAGGATGAGTAATTGAGTAAAAGAACAAATACAACGCGCAGCGGTGAGGCCGGTGAGAGGGGGTACTAGCTTGAAAAGGCAAAGTGATAATCAAGTGAGACAGAGCCGTTGCCGAAGAGGCCGAGTACCCTCTTGGGAGCCCAGGCACCAAACCAACCTGCCGCCTGCAGCCTGCAGACTGCAGCCTGGGAGCTGGGAGCGTGAGGCATGCTGGGCAAGGACGTGATGGAGTGAGTGTACAGTACGGTGGATGGTGGTTGTTGCTACGGTGGCCCGTGCGGCAAGGCTTCCATGGTCACGGCCATGGTCATCGAATTCACAATCTTCCCTCTTCCCCCCCACTCTGCCACCGCCGCTCGGCTGGGTCCGCCTCCGAGTGAGACACTCC